AATGGTTTGCGTAAAAATGATATAAAATGGACAAAAAATTTACATTCAGTTTACGTAAAATTAACAGAAACATGCTGTTTGGGTTATTTAGCTGTTACTTTTTCATTTGCTTCAGAGAAAGAATTATGATCTAATACGAAGAAAATCTAATAATTTTGAGCGAGTAAATCCATCAGATTGCGCTCTCATTTTGAACCATCGAGTCCACGCAAAGCAACCTGGACTGGAAGACCGCCCGCAGCCCGGTGCGAATCAGCAGCGAAATCTGACGGTGACAGGGCCGACGCCCACGGCCTCTCTCGCCGCTTTCGTCCACCAGCTGGGTCTCTTCTCCCTTGACTCCGTGGCGAACGGCCGCTTTTCCCCCATTCTCCTTCCTCGAGCAAGGCGGTTCAACTGTCTCGGATCGAGTCTTTAAAGAGCAGTAAAATTCTAAACGGAATCAGGAATGGGTGCGAAGGAATGCGCCGGTAAACCATGCCAGATATAGGCCCGAAGAAGTCTGCAATATTAGAGCTCCCTTTGAAATGCGGGTCGGATGCAGCCGCTATTTTGCTTCTTTGCACTGTTGATTATACAGTGTTTTTCACTTGAGTTAGACAATTTTTTCACTTGACTCTTCGACTACGGTGCAATGTGAGGGTGATATAGCGGATCGACGCAGAAACGAGGAGCTCCATTCCCAAGTGCAGATGCCGTGATGACAATGTCGACAACGATGATGATGAATTTCCTATTGAAGGGAGGAAAATCAATAAGAGTAAAAATTGCATTGATATGATCATTTAATGTCGCAGTGAAAAACCAAAGTTTCGTGGCATCCATTACTGTATCCCTTAATAATATATCAATAAAGCTGGTGACGTTTTCGGCATCGTTCCTGAGTTCTCAATTATCATTTCCCACGCCGAACTCACAGAAACTAGATTAGGCTTATCCAAGGTAGACCTGGGATTACCCATGGAAGTTCGATCCAGTGTTTTTACATCGTTGAGCCAACGAGAAATTGAAAACTTAAATCCTATTTTTATTTAAATAGACTGCAAGGAAGGTCGCCTATTGACAACGTCGCTATGCTCGCGGTTCATCGTTTCCAGTACATAGTTTGATTCATACGAAAAAGCCTAAATATTCGGAGAGAAGATGCCCTCGCCTCCTCTCTGAATACTCCACGCATCGGTGGCTTAGTCAAGTGAGAAATTATATAACTGAAGTAAAAATAAAAAACACTGCATAACGAATGGAGAAGTCTCACTGCTGCCAATGGTCCATATTCACTGCGTCATCAGGCACATCAATATGCGCATATGGCTTTGATGGCCTTTCTTGGTGACAGTTTTGAGGACAAAAACACTGCTTTCGTCAGAGGTCACCGGCAGCGAGAGAAGAGAATTAGAGGACCGGACTATCCCGAGCAAAAAAAAAATCTAGAAATACCACACCATGTAAGCCACAGGCGACGGCAGGGCGCGAAAGGAACGGGACGATCCGACAACCCTGTCACCCTCCATGGCTCCCCGGAGCCCCCCACATGCTAGGCCTGCACCCATGAGGGCTGGAGAGAGCCAAGTGCAGCTAGTCGTGGGAGTCTTCCACCGCCTTCTCGTCGCATGGTGAAGTGGCCTCGGCCACGCGACCGCCTCCATGCATCCAATCAAGTTCGTGGCCCTTCCAGTTTTTCTAGGCTAGGTGGATCACTCTACGACTTAATTACAGATAGGAGCGATAATTGCAAGTAGGCCTAAAATTAAGAATTTGCCCTGATATGTGTAACCGTTGATGTACGTGTGTGATGTGTAAGAAAGTTTGACTTCAAGCAATCTTGACAGAGTTATTGATTTCGAACCACTTCCCAGTCTTGGTTTCTTCGCACGTTTGCCAACTCTTGGATGAAATAGACTTTGATGGGAATATATTTAAGGACTGACCCCATGCTCATAAAAGAGCTTAAGCTTCACTTCTTGTCGTATTTATCATCCAGTGAGTGTGGGATGCCAAGAGGAGCAGTCTAGTATTTAAATCGGATTTTGTGTAGGACTTAACTGGGAATAACTAATTTAATGCAGGATCTAATACCATTTAGTCATTTTTTCATGTACAGATACTTTTACTTTCAATATTGTGAAAATACCATTGTGGACGAGGCAGTTTGTGTCGATATCCTCAATGAACAATCTGGATTTGTAGCACTAACAGTCGGTCGTGAAATTCAAGGGAAATCTGCAGGAGTGTGGCAACAAGTAGGCCTAGGCCCAACCCAAAGAATTTCTT